AACAATGGGTTCATACTGATCGTGAAATGCTGGAATCAAATGTTCTCACTGTTGACGGCTTCATCGAAAAACTTGCTGGAAACTGACTGGCCACCATTTCATTTCAAAACATCAAAGTGAATATTTGAAGTCGTTGAAAGCCGGCCTAAACGAAACTGAACTGATTGTACTGATGGATTTTGCGGAGAATTACTCGGTTGTTGTCCAAGATGCTGCTCAAGGCTTTCACTGAGAGAATTCACAAGCCACAGTGCATCCATTCATCGCTTATTATGTCGATAAAGATAGCGCACTGCAAATTGTCAACTGTTGCATAATTTCTGATCATATACAACATGATACGGTTTCCGTGCACGTGTTCATTCGGACATTGATTGAGTTATTGAAGACTAAAATGAAGATTACAAGAATATACTACTTTAGTGACGGTTCAGCGGTGCAATACAAAAATTACAAAAAATTCATTAATCTATGCAATCACAAACAAGATTTCAAAATTGAGGCCGAATGGAATTTTTTCGGCATAAGTCACGGCAAATCACCATGCAACTGAGTTGGTGGCACGACTAAACATTTGGCTGCTCAAGCCAGCCTCCAGCGACCATCAACCCACCAAATACTGACGCCGACAGATCTGTTCAACTTTTGCGACAGAAACATTCATGGAATTAAATATATATACGTTCCGAAGGAAGAAATCGAAGAAAGCAGGATGCTGCAAGAAGAAAGATAGAAAGTTAGCAGCACAATAGCTGGCACAAGAGATCATCACCAGTTTGTGCCAGTTGATTCAAATTCGATTTCTGTCAGCAAAGTTTCAAATGACACAATTAACTTTGTGGCCAAAATGTCCAATACTGTTGATCCAAATTTAAAATTGGCCGACATGTTTCCCAGTTGTTATGTTGCCTGCATTTATGACAAAAAATGGTGGATAGGCAACGTCGTGGAAATTTCGATTGAACAAAATGATGCGTTGGTAACATTTATGCATCCACGAGGCTCTGCTCCTTCATTTTATTGGCCTGAAGACAAGACATTTGTTGGGTTCCAGAACCACATCTTATTTGCGTGCTTCCAGCACCTTCAGTTATGTCGTCAGGTCGACAGTATCAATTCCCAAAAGTGACGCTAAAAGAACGTGGCATGTAAATTCAATAATAAATAAGCGATTGTTGGATTTTGGCAGTTCATATGAACAGTACGGACTTCGGCTTGGGAATCATATAAGATACCCACTTTAGGCTTGGGAACCTAGGATAAGCTGCCCAATCGTTGGCTTGGGAACCGGACAGATACCCACACAAAGACTTTGGAACCTCGAGGAAGAAACCAAACTACAGGCTTGGGATCCTGAATCAAGAAACCCACTCATGGCTGGTGTTGCACGGCTATTGGGCATGCCCCCTATGGTGATGGGGTTGCTGGTTCAAGTGCCTGAACTGGTAGTGACAATGTCATCATGGAGCAACGCAATATAATAGTAGTAATGATGTCTATATAAAACAAACAAGACGAAAAAAATAATAGAATACATATGACGTTGCCATAGCAATATCCTCAACTTTGTCCCTATTTTTAGGGATTTATACATCAGCGATGAAAAACCAACCGTACTTTTTTAGGGGGTTTGAAACATGCTTTTCTAATGAGAATGATTTAACAGAGTTTCCAGACGGTCTTTTTTTGTAAAAGCGGGCTGAAAATAACCTACTTTGGTGTTTTTACAAAAAACGTCAACTTTACACTCAATTTGTAAACTATTGGAAAGGAGTAGGAGAATGAAATTTTATATTTGAAAACCTTGTTTTGCTAAGTTATTACGTGCAAAGTTTCCCATTTATCATACCTTTCCTTCCAGAGATATAAAAAGCCAAACGTTAAACTTTTTTTTGAGCCGCAATATTTTCAGCCAATTTTGCTCCAAATTACCTAGATGGAGATCGCTCATGAGAATGCGTTTATTATTTTGTTTAATAGAGCACAAAAACTTGTATAAGATGGCCAAGTTTTGTTTCTCTCAACAAAATATTGCCGGAGATATTATATCTCAAAGTTGCTGGAATCTCAGAGTCATACTGTAGAAGGCTGCGGTATGGGGTCAAACAAATGACTATATCTCTGCAAATATTGCATCGGCAAACGTAACACTTTACCAATGTTCATTGGGGACATATGTGCATGTTCACACAAAATTTCATCAAAATCCGTGATGGTCAAGCAGGCACTTTTCTGAAATCACACCATGTGAGGTGAGCAAAGTATTTAAAAGAGAAGCCACCTTCTTGCTGGTGACTCAATTGTAAGATATGTCAATTTAGGAAAGGATGTAGAAGTTTTGGAAGAGGTGAGGGGTGTGCCTCATGGTAATGCCAGAGGCGCATTGTTAAGATAGTCAAAAATGCTAGTAAGGAGTGTAATGTTGATGTTGTGCGTCTTGGCACCAATGAGTTGTTTAAAAAAGATGTAGTTTCTATGCAGAAGGATTTTCAGAGCTTGGGGCAGAAACCTAGCAGTTACTTTTTCAGAGGTTTTACCTGTATATAAGGAGTAAAAAGAAAAAAGCCAGTGTATAGCAGAGTTCAATGTGTGGATAAAGGAGTGATGCAAATCAGACAGGTGGTAAGGAAGAAGGGCAACTCAGACACAAAACAGGTTATATAGAAAACAAACATATGGCCAGTCAAAAAGGACTCAAATACACTAACAGAAGAAGTATGGAGAACAAACAGGGTGAATTAGAATCTAAGTACATGAGGGCAGATGTTATTGTTGCCATTACTGAAATTTGGTGGGATAAAATCCATGCATGGAATATACCACTAGAGAGATTTAAATTGTTTTTTTAACAGACCTAATAAAAGAGGTGGAGTTGTGCTCTATATAAGAAATAATTACATCTCTATAGAAATACAGCAGAACAATGATGAAAACAGCCTTGAATGCATTTGGATCAATATAAAAGAAAAGAAAAAAAGAATGAGTTGCTATAGGTGTATACTACAGGACACCCAACAGAGGAAATAGATGAACATTTTGCTAATCAGTTAACTAAGGCAGGGGTCCCCAACCTATGGGCCACGGCCCACTAACGGGTGGTGGCCTACTGGCCACCGGGCCGCAGGACAGGCTGGCCAGTGCATAAACGTATGTGCGTGCTCTCAGCCCCACTTGCACTAGCATCCATGGACCAGTTTGCACATGCATGCGAGGCTAGCAGTGGCGGATAGCACCTGCGCACCTACACAAACGGGGCCTCTAGTGCCATGTGGGTTACACGGCCCATTTGTGTATGTATGCGGGGCTAGTGGTGGCGGCCAGCGCCTGCACGCCTACACAAACGGGGGCCATTTGTGCATGTGCACGGGCCTAGCAGCAGCAGCTAGTACCTGCACACCTACGTAAACGGAGCCGCTAGTGCCGTGCAGGTGCACACATCCGTTTCTGTGTGCACGCACATGCACGCACACACAAATTTCCCAGCTGCTCCCTTTACCTCTGGGTTGCCAGCATGAAAAGGTTGGTGACCTCTAAACTAAGGTGTGTAGGAAGCACACCACAATAGTAATGGGGAACTTTACCTAACTAACATCAATTGGGAGACAAACTCCACCCCTACTGGTAGATCAAACAGATTCCTGAAAAACCTACCTGACAACTTTGTCTTCCAAAAGATAGAGGAAGGAAACTAGAGAGTCAGCCATATTAATTCTTCCTAACCCAGATAAAGTGATAGAAGGGATTATAGGGACTGGCGGGGGGAAGTGACCATGTAATATTGGAATTCAACATTATGCAAGCACAAGAAATAAAAAAAATAAAGTAGAGTCTTGGACTTTAAGAGAGCTGATTTTAATAAACTTAGAGAGTGCATGGGAAGGATTGATGAAAATCCTCAAGGAGAAAACAACCTAGGAAGCTTGGGAAACTTTGAAAAGTGAGATTATAAAAGTGCAGTTTTGCACAATACCAATGTAGATGAAAAATTAGATATCTCAAAAGAACCCTGCATGGCTGCACATAGACTTCTCTATGTATAAAAAGTATAAAAAGTGGTCAGAGGGGCACATAAGTAAAGCAGAATATCATATTCTGAATAGCCTGAATATGAATTCAGGAAAGCTAAGGCTCAAAATGAACTAAGGCTTGCAACAAATGTCAAAACAAAAAAAATAGCTTCTATCAATGTGTAAAAAATAAGAAAAAAGTCAAGGAAACAATTGGTCCATTAATGGGAGAAAATGGCATGAAGGTGATGAGCAGCAGGGAGAAGGTACAATGCTTAACTCATTTTTTGCCATCTGTCTTTACACAAAAGAAAAAGAAACAGTCCAGCCTATTTAAAAACCAACCATAAAATGCAGATTAGGGATGCAAATTAAAATAAACAGGAAAATAGTAAGACAAGGACAAGATGATTACAGCCCAAGGTTCTGAAGGAACTGGCAGATATGATCTCAGAACAACTGAACCATATTTTTCAAAAATCCTGGAGCACTGGGGATTGGAAAAGAGCTGATGTAGATCCCCATCTTCAAAAAAGAAAAAAAATGGATCCAGGGACCTGTTTGATCTCCCACTTGATGCAGAGTTTGTTACCCAGTTGATGTCAGGGTAAAGTCCCTTATGATGATGATGATGATGATGTGTTTCCTGTACACATTAGTTAACTAATTAGAAAAAAGTTCATCTATTTCTTCTGCTTTGGTGGATGGCTTAGAGTATACACTTATTGCAAAGTCATTTTTTTCCTTTTATATTAACCCATAAGCATTTAAGGAGGTTTTCATCCTTGGTTTTATGCATTTCTATTGACTTGCAGTGATTTCTTATATATAATGCAATTCCACCTCCACTTTTGTTAGGTCTGTTTCTTTTGAACAGTTTATATTCTTCTAGCAATTTCATTTCAATTTCAAAATTCAATTTCACGAATTTCAAGAATTCTTGACAGAATTCTCTTTATTATTCTCTTTTATTATTATAATCTCAGTCAATAATTATTTCTAATCTTGTTAATCTATTCTTGCTTACTTCTCCACCAGATATGAAGGGAGAAATGGCTCAAAGAATCTTCAGTGACAGTAAGTACACAGTAAATATTTCATTTTACTTAAAACAGATAGAAGTCTCCTTTTAAAATAGGTTTCAAACTAGTCATAATAATCTAGTTTTACTGGCCATTCTAGATAAACGTAAATTTGGTGTCAGACCTGCCCCAACCTAGGTCTCCAGAAAAAAAAGATCTTTGACTCCATTTGATTGAAGTGATAGGTTCTTTTATTAAAGATAAGGGGTTGCAACAAAAGCTAGATCTGAATATTCCCATGCAAAGGTTACGCTTTCCCCCTTTCCCTGGCCCTCCCCCCTTGACCACTCCATCAGTGTCTAATAGGATGCTTTTTGGATGTTTTGAGAATGGCTCAGATATTTGGTGCCTCTCATTGCAATTTTGCTTTTACTTCCCAGGCCAGGTGTCTTTGGGAGGCTGGTTCATTCTGGTTTTGCACCTCTGGTTCTTGTCAACATGTCACCCCTCCCACCATTTGTCTTCTCATTCCCAGGCCCACATGTTACTACCCCAAATTCCTCTCCCCTCCTTTGCAATTTATGGCAGGATGCCAGCAAAGTGAAGATGCTGAAGATGGTAGACCTGACACTTGGCTTATTTTGATCTTACAAATTATCTGATAGAATAAAAAAGGCAGTGCTCTTTAAAAAAAAAAAAAAAAAGATGCTGGAACTCATACACGTCATACAACCCGCCTTGCCTACCTTATAAGGTTCCATCCAAAAAAGGTGCCGGAACTTCGTTCTGGGCATTCTATGAGGAAAAAAAGCTCTGAAAAAAGGTATTATATTATTTAGATAAGGGGTCCCCAATTCCCTATTAGGAATCAGACCACACAAGCTGAGTACAAATGAAGCTTTATCTGCGCATGCACGAGTTCTAGGTTTTGTGTGAAATTATCTCCTCCCTGGTCCATGGAAGACAATTTTTCTTCCAAAACCGGTCCCTAGTGCCAGAAAAATTGGGGACTGCTGATTTAGATAGTCTCCAATCTGTAGGAAATAGGTTGGTGATTGATTTTTCCGCCAGTTAAAGGACTTGTGGATTTTTGGATTGGTTTTGGTGTCTGGGAACCAAATATCTTAGATATGTCTTATTTCAATTATTTATGATTCTAAATCCCTACCCTTTTCTTTAGTAAATATTGCTATCAGTTTAGGAGTCTATGCCTTAAGCATTGCCACCACCCAATAACAGTACTGGTTTCTCTCCCCCTTGATTTTTTTTTTCTGAACTGGATAAGAAGAATGATAACTCACCTTGGCTTCAATCAGTAGAATGGCTCCACAATTATCTTGAAATTGTATTTGCATATAACATGTAAAAGATGTATTACATTTGTTCCTATAGACTCCAAGAGAATAGAAAAAGACAAATCTCAATTTAAAATTGATAGTTCAAAATAGCAACACTGAAGTCAGTAGTAATAACCAACATTTCTCAAAATTCCTCTATTTTGGTTAACCCGACATAAAGTTATGTTGTATATTCTTGTTGCACTGATTAGCTAGGTCTATCCCCTTTAATCCAGCAAGAAAAAAAATATATAATTGAGGAAGCTAATAGGTTTTAGTTTTATATGTTGTGTAGCAAAAATTGGAGTTGGGGTTGGCTTATACTTTTAACAGCAGCCAAACAGTATTTTTGGCATCAGTAAAAAAATATTCCGTAGACTAAAATTAGAAGCTTTCATTAGTCACTGCAGTCCAGTCCTTGTACATTTCATATTAAAGCTACTTAGTGAAAAATCACTGCTTTTCTCGTGTTGACCTTACTGATAGCTTGGTCAATGAGATTTACATCCAATGAGGATGGCAACTCAATAATTTAGGCAACCTTGAAGAAACTTGTGTGCAACAATTAGTAGATAGGAAGATACAGAAAGAATGTTTCCTATCCTGTGTACAGAGATTCTTGACAAAGATTGGCACAAGTTAATTTATGCCAATATCCACATTATTCTGATTTCTAATGTCCTGTAAAATTTAAGAGATTAAAATAAGAGGAATTAAATTCATATTTGGACAGTGTAGAATTTGGAAAGCAGTGATTAATAATTTGATATAAAGTACTAACTTTCTTACTGTTTTCCAAATATTTGGGCATTAATGAGTTGGATTGATCTTCTGGAAAGCCCACCTGAGATGGTATATGTTGTGTCCTGAGCCTGCAAAAGGCAGGCTCGGGACGTTGCAAGAGTCCCGGGCATTTGCAGAAGCTGCCCGGGACCAGACTGAGTGGCGCCGGCCTTGTGCGCATGTGCAAGGCGGGAAAAGACCGCCTCTTGATTGGTTGAACTTGCCCGGGGATCAGAAGGTATAAATAGAGGCCTGCGTGCCTCTGCTCGGGTTGTTCATAGAATGGAAGCAGAGAATAAAGACTTGTTAGAAATGCTTTGTCTCAAGCGCCAATATTCTCCGGACTTAACACTGGCGACGAGGATGGGATCCAGTCTATACAGCTAGGAAAGCTTGAAGACTCACCCAAAGAAGTCCGGAAGAGAAAACGGCGTGGAAGTCAGCGTTATCCTGCCAGTAGGAAATCGCTGGAGGGTGCGTGCGGCTGAAGAAGAAGAAGACCTGATCCTCGATCATGGCGAAAGTTGGGCGTTTAACGGAATTCGACGTCTCTCACCCCGAGAGGTGGGAATCTTATGTGGCAAGAGTCGAGACGTATTTCCCTATAAACCAGATTCGGGAGGAAGGCTTAAAGGCTGCCACATTGTTGTGCGTTTGTGGGCAAGACGCCTTTGAGATCGCCGAGAGCTTAATCGCCCCAGACTCGCTGGAAACGGTATCATACTCCGACCTCAAGAAAACTTTAAAGGAACACTTCCAGCCCAAGCAATCTGTCATGGCTTGGAGACACACATTTCAACAGAGAGATCAGCGAGTTGGAGAATCAGCAAAAGAATACATTGTGGCCTTGAGAAGAGCAGCTAAACCGTGCGACTTCAAGGACTTACGAGGAAAGACTGCACGATCGTTTTGTGTGTGGACTGAGGAACACAGAATTACAGCAGAAGCTGTTCGCCAAGGAAGATGTCTCCTTCCAAGATGCTCTGCGAGAGGTTTCGGCTGAAGAAGCTGCAGGTGGGGCGGTCAAGAACATGCGGCCTAAGCGAAACGTTCCAGAGACTGCCACTATTCACAAGGAAGACGTGCGCGAGGATTCGGACGAAGATCCTGAAGAAGAGGTGGACAAGCTTTACCAAGCAGCTGGGAGAAGGTCCAAGGATAGTCAGGACAAGGGCCCAGCTGAGCTTCGTTGCCTCGGATGTGGTGGACGCCACAAGCGAGCGGAATGTCGGTTCCGTTCCGCCATTTGCCGAGCGTGCGGAAAGAAGGGCCACATCGCTGCGGTCTGCCTGGGTTGACAGAAGGTACAACCGAAGGAAGAATTGAATCTGAAAGGTACCAGGGTGCCCAGCCAAAACAGGGTGGGGTTCTGTGCAACACGCCGGAACATTTTAAGAATAGGCACACACAAACCCCTTAAAAAGAAGCTAACAC